ATTCCTGTTTGCAAGCTTACATGGAATCTTTTTACGTGTACGTGTGGTCTCATTCTGTAGGTCTCATAAATACCTAAAAATCGTATTTGAAGAGTTTTTTGGTTCCTGGAAACACTTTCGATTGAATCCCAAAAAACATGTTTTCTCAGTCTTTGTGTACATTTGCTAATATGTATATAAATAATCGCGCAATTCCGCATTTTGTAACTGTAACCAAAATTTTGGAAAGAGTAGTGTTCACAAAAAAATAGTGTTAATTATGGTTCTTGAAAGTTTGGTCCTACTGAATCTAGGAATTGCATTTCTGCCATTACAGGGCCAATAAACAAAATATTGAACGCGAATCACTTTGATAGCTTAAAGTGATTTTGGATTGTATCAAATATATGAATACATATACATATTTTGAAATGCGTATTGAAAACAGAGAATTTTTATACTAGACCTAACAGTCCTATAAAAAACTTTAGTGGGGGGCAACCTCAGACTAAAAATATAAATAGACTTACCATTCTTACGGCACTGTAATGCATGAAGACAAACAAACCCAACTCAAAACAAATACAAACAATAAGCTGTGTATGTGCAGACCACAGCTGATTCCACCAGTGGCGTAGGTGCTATTTTTGTAATGGTGTTCTGGTTAATACACCCAGTATCACCTTCCATGGCAGTGAAAAGAATAAACACAGAGAAGTAAACAAGGTTTTATTATTGGAACTTAATTATCAGGTTTATTGCTTCATAATACCTAGTACAAAGGTATATAAACAAGATAGAGAGTATCATGTAAATAATAAGAATTGAGTAGAAACTTTCCTGTCCAGAGTATGAATACAAAAAAAATAGTAAGAAAATGATAGTAACCATGATCAAAAGTTGTGTATAAAAAAATATATAAAGAAACAGAAAAAGAATAAATAATTGACGCATCAATTTAAATATTCTGTCTTGATATTGAAGGCACAAAAAAACTATTCATTCCTTAAGAAAGATCTTAGCTTAAATAATTCCCTAAAGTATTTAAAAAGTTTGTATCATAAATTCAACTCATTCGTTTTATTTAGGCAAGCAAAGACACAGATTTGGTTCAAACGATCTGACAGAATATGCTCTCTCAATGGATTGTATAATGGACATTCCAGGAGGAGATGTCCTAAAGATTCGGTCTTTCGAGTATTACATATTGTACAATAGTCTGTTTGGTCAACCCTGTATGAAATATTGTTTAGGAAGATTTTGAGACTACATTTATTGTGGAGCTTAAGTTGGATTATAAATCGTTTTATACATAACGGTATACTTGGGGATTTAGTGTACTCTGTAGACTCTGATAGCTATTTTAGCCATTTAGCGCGTCAAAAAGTTCTTGTATTGATATATGCTGATCCAGATATGGATGTAAAACATCTAAAAAGCTAAAGTCAACATTGGGGGTAGGTTTATACATTATTTTATAGTAGTCAATCCATGTTTGGAGATTTAGTGCATATTTCAGTAAAACAATTCCTTTGGACTTGTCACTCTCCCTAAGTCATTACTTATAATTCATTTTATAATTTTGCTTTTTATTTTTTTGTAATTATCAGGTTTTATTGATTTTGAAATAATATACTTTTTCTGAGTAATGATCGTACACGTTTTGAAGGGGCATTCAAGTTAGTGGTATAATGGTACAACTTAATGGTAAAATATTGTTCTAAAACTTGTTTACAGAGCAATGGAAAATGATTACTTAAAGGTTCATCTTCGAATACATGGTCCTTAAACACATTTCCGAATCCAAGAGGTAAATTTTGCAATGTATGATTTGTTAATATTTGTGAAGCTCTTGTCATATTTTTTTTGCCAACTCCTAACCTTTCCTTTTATAACCTAAAGCAATGTTCTTCATATTTACACACATTTATTACAAAAGCGGAGGCTTTAACTAATTTTCCATACGTTTTTCTTATTTGTAATTTCGATATAGACTCTCCTGAAGTTTCTAACAAATCTAAACAACTCTGGCATTTTATAGACTTTTTTAGCCTCTTCACAACAAAACCTGCAACATATGCAACAACATCTTCCAAATACAGTTTAAGCTACCAAGGACTTATTCGAAGAAAGTTTTTAAATTGTATAAAATCTTCATCTTCCTCTATACCGTAGTTTGGGGTTAAATTGATCATTTATTTTCTTATTTTCATCATAAAATTTTTAAAATATGCTTTTTGTTAATTATAAAAATATCATAGATTTTTTACGTTTGGGTACGTGAGTTCCTACTATCAGAAATAAGAAATAATTTATAGTTTTTGCAAAATTAAAAAAAATACGATTGATCAAATTCATACCTTGTTTGGGGCGAATTTGATCGCATACATTTTATCGAACGTACACGTCGTATTAAGCATATACAATTGATCAATTTCATCCAAAATGTATTATTTTTGATAGTTTAAAAATTATTCTTCAAAAACAGATGGGGGTGAAATTGATCAATGCAACTGAAAGGAAACATGGTCATGCTCTCTTTTTTATTTTAAATAAATATGACATTTTTTCCAAATCTTTATTTTAAATTAAGAATACATTGCAGTTATCATACTAGTATTGGCCAACAAACAAAAAATCTATTTTTCTAAGCAACATAAGACAACTTGGACTTCGACAAAATTTATAGTTCTTTCACGTCAATATCCTTTTTGAATTTGTAAATGATTTCTCCATCGCGTTCTTCCAATTGAGGGTTAGGAAGAACCGCTATGACATCCTCTTCTTCAACAATAAATTGGTCATTAACCACAACTTGAAAAGTGTTTCGCGTGGTATTCATCGCTTTCATACCCAGAACCTCAATTCCATGATCTGTTATGCCCTGTACGACTGAGACATACCTATACGTTGTTTTTTTTCGACTGCCTCCTAGAACTGTAACTAGCAAATATGTTCCTTTCCTTATATTTTCCTTATTTGCGGAAAAATATTCCGTTTCTTCATGCATTTCTTCAGGAACCTCATCGTCGGAGTTGTCTTGCAAAACTGGTTCTGGTTCATCATCAGAGCTAGATGATTCATTTGGAGCTGTCACACTTTTTCCTGGCTGTATGTCTAGGCGCTGCCTCTTGATACTTTTTCTAGAAGGTGCAGCTGGAAAGCGTTGCTGTTCCAGATATTTTACCAAAACGTCATGGACAGCATCTTGATCGACGTTATCGTTTTCGGGAATTTTTTGTAGAACACGATCTGGGTCAAAAGGCACAATGCCAGTTGCCCTGAAAGACGCTTCCAAATCCAACCTAATGGCACCATTACCATCCTCAGTCTTTTTATCCATTTCAGTCAAAGCAGTTGAAAGCAAATATGGAAAATCTTTTTTATCCACTGTGGTTGAAGATAAATGCGATTGTTTCCATCTCAGTAACACTGATCGCCAGGACATTTTAAAAGGTCTAAAGAAACCTACATCTAAAGGTTGAGTTAAATGAGTAGAGTTTTTAGGCAGACAAACAAAGGCAATATTATTTTGCTCACATAAACGCAACACTTCGTCAGTGAAATGTGATGACAAATTGTCCCCCAACAGAATTTTACGACCTTCTAATTGCTTAGCGTGGGGTAAAAAAGTCGACGTAAACCATTCGGTGAATGTCTGCGCATCCATCCAACCATGACTTGTGCGATTATATCTTGCTCCCGATGCACAGCATCTTTGGTTACAGCATGGATTTCCTTTGGGCCCATTTTCGGTCCATTGGAGCCACATTTTTTCAGATTTATATATGATATATGGTGGCAACAGAACACCTGATGCGGACCCACACATCATAATAGTAGTAGCACTTTTAGTGAAGTTACATACTCTCTCAGGATATTTGGTACCGCGTTTGAATAACAGTTTTTTCTTTCCTGGATCATCTTGTATATTGGTCTCATCGTAATTGAATACGTTTGATGGTGGAATATTATCCAGAGTAAGGCGTAAATTATTAAAATAATCTTGTATGGTTTGCCTTGTCACAGAAGCTCGAGAGCGTTTAATGTTTGCGGCTACTTTTTTCACAATATCATTGCTATATCTTTGAAGCATAGAATAAACCCAATCATTTCCGGGTAGATTATTCCGAAATACGGCTACGTTACGTCCTTGGCTATCCAAATAATTTTTGGCAAAGTATCTTAAATCAGTTGTATCTAAAGGAAACCCCCACTCTGCACAGATACTTGCTGCAAAAAGGAACGCTTTTTCTTCGCTCTTGGAAAATACTGTTTGCCCACCATTTATTCTATGATGGCGTCCATGATATTTATTATTTAGTGTTCCAAAAGGTATTTTATATTCCCGAGAAGCTCGTCGTAAGCTCCAGCCTTCTTCGGTTACTTTTGCTAACGCTTGTTCAACAACATCACTACTATAGTCCTTGTACCTTCTAGCCCCCAGCTTCCTTATGTACGTGCGTACCATTGTTCACCTAAAATGAATAATGGATATGTATATCATTTACATTTCCCTAAACAAAGCATTTTGGGGCGAAATTGTTCACTTACTAATTTGATCAAATTCGCCCCACATGTCCGATCAAATTGACCCCAGCCAATTCATTTTCAAAATTCCCGCTCAACCACCATGTTCTCTCCGATTCTAACCTATACATCAGTTTAACAATAGGTGAAAAAAGCCATATACTATCACTAAGGAATACAATTTATCACTACTGAGTACTTACCAGCCAAAGTTTTCAAATGTCTGAAAGGCCTTCTGTTATTCGCTACAGATAAAACAATTATTCTAGCCAAGACAGAGTACATAATCATACGTGAGATTATGCAGAAGTGATGACTATAGTTTCACCGTTCGGTTGAGCTGTCTGCCAACCTCGATAACCGAACAGATTTGGCGCTAAATTTAAAAACATTTTAAGAAGATGTAGTGATCAATTTCACCCCTGGAGATCAATTTCACCCCAAATTACGGTACTGTTTGATGATGAGGTCATATCCTCACTAATTTTGATCTCTAAAGATGATGATGAACAGTGCAAAATGGATGTGCTATCTAATGCGACGACATTGGATGCTTCATTGCCACTAATTTCAGTATGAAGTAATAATTTTTTTTAAATATTCTGAAACTGCTTCGAGGTAGGATTATTGCTGTATCCTCCTTTGCTTCTTATACAACTGAAGAAAATTTCCAAATGATCTTGAGATAACTTATATGTGAGAAGGTACTTCAGCTCTTTGGTTTCTTTGACTCTATATTCATACAGGCTGTTTATTGAAATTATGAATCCCAAAAATCCTAATTTTCTTCTAGAAAGTATAACTCTAGTGTCTCCTAATTTTAACGATTTCAAATAATCCTTCGCTTCTTCTAAGAAATTGAAATATTGTTCAGTAGCAGGTGACAACGGTTTCTCATAAGGTTTTTTTGACATCCTATTCCTTGAATTAAAAACATCAAATAAATTGTTTACTGTTCTACAAAAATATGATGTAGCTTCTGAATCCTTGAAGTCAGCTATAGCCAGATCTTTGTTCAAAAAGTCTAATGCTTCTGCAACACTCTTGCTCAAAGTCTGGACGGCAAGTTTAACTTTCATCTTTTCATTCACCCATTGAAGATTCTTCTTGTTTTTTCTTATCACTAGGAAACCTGAAAGATCAAAAACGTGTCTAACAGAAGAGTATTTTTTGAAAATCACCACACATACAGTGTAAAAACAACCAATAACTATAAAATGTCTATTTCTTAAAACTAAAAATCACAAGGCATCCCCATGCGCTACGCCCTTGTCCTCCTCTAACCTCTAACTCACCTGAGGAAGGTTGCATCAGTTTTTTCACTGCTAACTCCACAAAGAATGCACTTCCGACGTCACATTATCTTTGAAAATTGTCTATCAATGATAACAATGCTATAATTGCCGCTAAAACAACCTGAAAACATTTTTGAATACTCGCAACAAATTCACTGTGCACAACAACAAACACCAGATGTTTGTAAATTCTGTGTACGCATCCACCACTTGCCGCTGAACACCGTTGCCACGTTCGGCAAAAAGTCGGTAGAAATGTGCTACTTTCGAATGAGGGCAAGTTTCGTCCAAGGTGAAACAAATCCAGTCAAACAACTGACTGGGCAAAATATTATATGTAATGTTCGCTATGAATTACCCAACATGAATCTGCATCCGTTTTGAATTGAATTTACGGCGTGTCGGCCACCTCTGTGACCGTTTTTGCGAGTATAAACAAATATGAAAAGAAAAAATAAATTTTTAAAATTTAAAATGACGTTGACAACTGCCTAGGAGCAGTTGTTTGATCGACCCACGATCGACCGGAGCGTCCACACCTTATTTAAGTCCACCTTCATTTCGGGCGGAGTGCACACCAATATCTCATTCCATTTTCAATAGATTTTTCAGTATGGAGAAGTGGCAGCGTCGCATATATTTGTTTACCGTAAATACAGTTATGTTGACGACGATATTTTGTAGGGAATTATTTGTCTATTTATATTTTTAGTCTGAGGGGGCAACTTATATCCGAATATACGTATATATACATCACAGGTCTGGTGGACGAATTTTGAGGTGATTATTATCACATCAACCTGTATAGAGTTCTTGAGTTAACTTTACGTGTACCATGGCGTCAAGTGAAAGACGTGCTAATAGTTCTGTTACAAAATGTTACAAGCGTTGTGGTGTTATCGCGAAAAGTGGTCCACAATGTGCTAATTGTAAAACATACATGCAGAATGCGTCAAGTACATAAAAAACCTGCAGAAGATGTATGATAAATCCAACTAGCCAATTGTATCCCCATGTTATCAGGACGGCAAACACAAGAAATCTACCAAGTACAGTGATGTTATAAAGAAACCATCCAGTTCATCAATTCAAAAGCTAGTCACATCGAACGCAGCCAAGAATACTGGCAACACTGTAACGAAGCAGCAAGTTTCACTTGCAGTCGATCAGGCACTGTCGTTAAATGGTTCTCACTGGATAAGAATATTGAGTTGTGTGCCATTCAATTCTCAAATCATTTTGTGCTACAGATCTCCCTCGGGAGATATGAAAATATTCCATGACAATCTGAATGGGGCTTTAAATTTTGTTTTCAGGCCAAATATAACGTACTCGTAAATATATTTCTCTGTGGCGACTTCAATGTAGATTCTCACTATCATAACGACGATAATGAGGCCCTATTGAATGCACTGTCTGAGCTTGACTTGTATCCACAGGTAGGTTGCCCAACAAGGATTGGGCGCACGTATATCACAACGATAGAAGTTTTCACCAACTTCAATGATAGATGTTTGAACTGCGTTCTTGATAATGTCATATCTGACCATAGAACAGTACTTGTAGAAATCATGGAATGTCAAGCTAAGGATGCGGTAAAACAAACACTTAAAAGGGTTTTTGATACCCGGTCTGTTCAGAACTTCGTTTCAGACTTAAGTAAGGAAAACTGGTCACCACTTTATAGTTACCGGGATATAAATAACGCATTTGAGTACTTCATTCAAATGTTTGACTATCACTTCCAGATGCATTTTCAATTGCGTAAATGTCTGATTAAAAACAACAGCAAAAAATGGGTCGATGAAAATGTAAAGTTGTCGAGTTCATACTTGCATGCACAGCATATGTTGTCCAATTATCCCTGAATACAGACAACATTATCTAGATGCAAAAAGATAACACCAGAAAAACAAAATAGGCATATTATTAACAAAAAATGTCCAATTCGCACAACGTGATAAAGGCTGCCTGGAATGTGGTTTCTGGCATAAACGGAAGAAGTAGAGTATCAAAGAACATTGTACTATATGATAATGGATTAACCATTAGAAATCCACCAAAAATTTCTAATTATTTTAACAACTATTTTAAACAGGCTCCTTTGGATATTATTCAAAAAATATTAATGATAAGTTAAAAAACAAGCGTTCTTCAGGCATCGATGAGGTTCCGAATTTCTTAGTCAAGAAAATTTTGTTGTACATAACCAAACGTTTTGTTTTTCTAGTTAATCTATCATTCTGCACTGGTGTATTTCCAAACAACCTAAAAACAGGAAAAGTAATTCCAATTCATAAGAAAGGAGACACTTCTTTGGTCAGCAATTACAGACCGGTGACTGTTCCATGATGTTTTTCCAAGATCCTTGAGTATTATTTTTTAGACCGACTGCTGCTGTTCTTGGAAAGCAGTGACATTCTATCATCCAATCATAAGGGTTTTCGTAATTGGAAAGTCAACCATGACCGCATGTTGCTCATTTATCAACACGTTAGCTAACTGTATGAGACAGGAGAATGCCCTGTTGGGATATTTTGTGACCTCAGTAGGGCGTTCGACTGTGTTAGTCATGACATACTATTAGCCAAACTAACGGACTATGGAATTGGTGGTTCAGCCTATCTGTGGATAAAATCGAACTTACAGAACAGGTCACAATACGTGGCAATAACACACAACAACGCTGGTCAACTGAAGCAGGTCAAATCGGGTCGGGTTAACATAGATATAGACATACCACAAGGATCTATATTGGGGCCAGTGCTGTTCTCCTTTTATATAAATAACCTGGAGCAATGTTTTCCTGAAGCACACTTCATGTTGTATGCGGACGATGCCTCCATCATTATATCAAACTAAGATGAGCCTGATTTAATAAATAAATGTAATACCTTAGTGTACATCAATAGCTGGTTTCAAGAAAATCAGTTACTTCTTAATAGCGAGAAGGCCACACTTATACAGTTCCATAACGTTCAGAAGTCGATATCAGCGATTCAGCTTGTTCTAAACGATTTAGCACTGCAAGTTTTTAGGGCTCCACTTAGACCAATGTCTCAACTTTAAAGGACATTGCGATTATCTGTCATCAAAACTGTATTCACAAGCATATTTATTCAAGAACCTGAGGTCTATTTTCACAGAGGATCAGCTATTGCTGTTGTATTATGGCCAGGTCTGGGGTTCATCGGTGAACACTTCTAAGGTGTTCTCAAGTGAAAAACGGCTGGTAAGGTGTATGGTGGGAGTAAGCAGTACTTATAGTTGCAGAGGATTATTCAAGAGATTGAAAATAATGAAAATGCCTTCGCTTTTTTCCTACAATATGGGTATCTATACTTTTTTAAACAAAGATGATTCCACCTTGAATAGTCATATACATCAAATGGGCACTCGCAGACAAAACGATATCCGCGTTACAAGTTAGGAGCAGATCACCATGTATTTTAGGACCAACAATTTTAAACAACCTGCCTGACTCCATAAAAAAATCACCCCAATAGGCCAATTCAAATCAGAGCTGAAAAGCTACTTTATCAGTAACAGTTTTTATTCAATTAGCGACTTTGTCAGTTTTTAAATATCGTTTTTTTGTCACTGATTTTAACTTGTTTGTTGTTGGATGTTATTCGTTTGTTTGTTTTTTATTTATTTACTTTTTACATGTATACTTATTGTATTTTTGACTAAACCTATACATGTTCATGCATGTCTGAAGGAAAATAAATGTATTATTATTATGTTCTGTTCGTTTGCGTCGGAAGCTTGAACGACAGCAATATTCTCGGCACTTCGACCAACCCGTTGTCTCACTGGCACGAGAACACCCAGCAGCGAATATGAGGACTCAAATTTTTCTACTAGACTATGAATTGCTTGTCTACCGGACGAGAATTACGACAAAAAATTGGCGTTAACGCTCTTAAAGTTGCAGTCACCGACTCAGAATTTCGGTAGTAAATTTTAATTATTTGTAAGCGTTGTTCGTTCGTGTACTTCGTGATGAAAATGTTTTCTTTACTGAATGTTTTGACATTGACAGTTCGGTAATTGATTTAAAGGTGCGCTAACAGTGAAAGTTCAAAGGTGTCAAGTCACTATTGGAAAACGCGATACATCTCATATAACAACCAAAGACCGTATGATTTCAGAAATTTTTCATTACAATACATACTTCCTTGCCAGTGCCAGCCTTCATTTACTTTGCATATGATAGCTGTATGTCTTATTTACATAATTTTGAAAAGCACGATTCCTTGTCTTTTGTTATTTCAATCAAGTACCTCCCACAACTATAATTCTGCAACTCCCCACCAATCTTACCCTTGTAATAATTCCATCGAATGGTGATCACATATTGACATAAAGTTGTTGCTCAATTCTTACATTTTTTAACAGATATGCGTGCTCCCACTTGAAACACCGATCTCGATCCAGATGATCATGAGCTGAACATGATGTTATCAAAGATGTTTATAAATTAGCTTTGCTATTATCACTCTCTTTAATAACAAATTAATTTTTGGCATTAAAATGTGCTTTCCGTGAGTCACATCATGGTAAAGTTTCTTGTCTCAAATTATGATAAAATTTTCTCAAGATTAATTATATATTTATTGCCTTTATGAAATAATTTTTTGCATGTTTTTTGAATACTGTTTTTTATTCCAGACAAAACAGCCATCTGCAGTAGGATCATTGGTGTCCAGTGGTCTGATAACTCCAACGGGGGCGGCAATAGGCACGTCAAAGCAGCAACAACATCACCTAGTTGGCCCTTCCGCTACGCCTGTGCCCATGACCACCTCGGCTAACATTTTAATGAACAATAATACCTTATCACCAAGCGCCTTATCGATAACCAACAATACTTCCATTAGGCAGAATAGCAGTAGCACCATACTGACAAGTACAACAGGGGCGGGCGCCACCAAAATTCCTCCTCCACAATACCATAGGGCTCTCTCTACTAACATGGTATGTTCATATCTTGTTGTTATTCCTTTAAAGCATTTGATTAGTTGAAAAGTGAAAATTACACACTTAAAATGTAAAAGATGAACATATATATATATATATATATATATATAGATATAGGGTGATTCAAATTGGGTTTCCACATTAAAAGTATTTAAAAAAAAAGAAGAAATTGAAAATTATAAAAAAGTATGTTTTTGTCTTTTCAGGGCAGTTCATTACAATTATGCTTCAAAGATGATATCAAGTTAATGACCGCCGCGGCTCATGTGGCATGACGT